CCCTGCCTGAGGATGAGAAGAAAAATCTCTGGTTAAATGCAGAGATGCAGGCAAGCAGGCAATTCTCCATCCATTCTCTCAGCATAGGCCCACAACACAATAACATAAATTTCTACCCTGCAAATTGCTGTTAAGAAGGTATTTAGAGAATCTCTGTCTTCCCTCTCAACTATATTCACATTAAAACCCTTTGCTCACACCCTCATATGTCCCCTTCACTACAAAGGAGGAGAGCAGCCTAAATATGTGGACAGAGGAAGAAGAGGAGAAAGTCCCCTGCATCCCAAAATGGACACTGAAATATCTATAAAACCAGCACTGCTATACCCCAAAATGAAGTCCCAGCAGCATCTTCAGATCTGAGATTCTGGACTTCCTTGATCTTTATTTCTTATCTTCTCTACAGTTCATTTCTTCAGATTTTTGTCCCCATGTATTTTGAAGTATCGCATTTTTGGGAATGTAAAATCAATCATAATGCTAATCAGAAAATCAGAGTCTCTGGAAACCTTTACAAGTTTAATTATCTGACAGATGACAACTCATATAAACTAATTTATTGTTGCAACAGTTTTTGAAAAATATGTTCACAATTTCTGTACCATTGTGTTCTAATTTTTATTGATGCTTATTTACATAAGTCTAGTAGAAAAGTTTCAGCCACCAATGAAGAAGTTTTCATATGAAAATCTTGTTGCTTTTAATCAGAAGTAATAAACTGCTATATTTCATGGCTAACACCTTATATACTGCAACTTATTGATAAACTGATGCAAAAGAAAATCAATAGTAGCTAGATAGGGACATATAATTTAATGAAGGGTTTGCATACATGTCAATAAATGGAAGACTCACATTCTGATTGTTTTCTTACTGATGCAGGTCTGAGAGTGGGAAATCTCATTTGCACAATCAGTACTGGTTTGTATCAGTAAAAATAAGAGTGAGCTTTGAAAAACAAAATTTCAAGTACATTTTGCTATTTTTGTTGTGTTTATTCATCACATGCTGATGTAAATGCATTAAAAAAAAATGGTCCAAGTAAGGTATTACATTCAGAGCCTTATCGATAAAATAATTGCCACACTACTTCAAACTTTGCTAATTATTCCCCTGTTCCTAATACTGTTTTCAAGCAAGCAGGCTGCTTTGCCCAGAGAATAAATATCAGAGACCATAACTATGAATGCTGATTTGCTGTACAGTATTTGGAATTATTTTTTTCCCTATGACCACAGCCTTTGAGTATTATTCTCCTTAGTCTACTTTCAAATCCTTAAATAAAACAGGCAAAGTGAGGAGCTGCCAGCTGATTCTCCTGTGGAGCATAGTATTCCTTTGTGTGCTGAACGTGTCTGAAATGCTGACCTACTATTTTGGAAATTTTTTTTTTTTTTCAGTAGACTTTCTTCTCCAAAATCTTGGGCCAATAATGAGCAAGCAATGGAGTAAATAAGTAGGTACATGACTAGCCAGAAACTGCAGTTACTGGACTGTTTGCTAGGGATGATTTTACATTTCCCAGCATGTGTCCATTTTGGAAGTTATTGAGGGGGATTTGGACTTCTAGGTCACTGCAGAATGATCACTGAGCAGTCATTTGCCTGAGACAATCACTATTATTATGGCCCTGACTCCACATCCTTTCAAGGCATTGAAGGATTGGTATTGATTTTTGAGTAGCATTTGTAAAGGGCCTGTGCACCGGACAGAAACTGGACCATATCATTAGACTATCTAAGGGATTTATCATCAAATATATTTCTAAAGGTAATGCTAATAGAAGAACTCTTAACCTCTGAATCAGAAGATGGGATATGTAAGAGGATTAGTATCTTAAAGGAAAGAACTTAAAGAAAACAACTGCTAAAAGACTGTTTGAAGTTATGGATCACAAGCTATTCGTTGATTTATGAAGGCAGCACAGCAACAGTTTTCTAATTAATTGATCTGATTGTTCTCAAGGGTGTTAGATTCTTAATATTCATAGGAGTCATAGCAAATGATAGCAAATAGCAAAACCTGTTTCTTGACTCAAAACTAAAGTGGAGCCTCACAAAAAGAATGTAACCACTGCTTGGCCACACTTATTGCTCCTGTGGGTGGCAGCTGCTAGAGCAGCATGTCAAGTCCCATGCTCACAGACTAACTCACACAACCTTCTCCTCTGACATAGTCCTTCTGTTTTATCTGCATTTTAAATATTCTCAGTACAGCTCTGAAGCTCCCTGGCTCTGATAACACTGGGAACTCAGGGCCACAGGCAGAGTGAGGTACCCACTCCACAAGCAATACCGTAGCTGGGTCTGTGTGTGTGACCCTTTCCCATCACGTAGTGTAAAAACCACGGTTTTGTATTTGGCTTTAGGTGAACATATCAGAATGTGTTGCAGAACAATTCCTGTGATTTTGTAATAGGATTTTAGAATCAGGTCAGATTGAGCTAACTGAGCTCTAAGTGAGGTTACAGTAAATTTCACCTCTAGTTAGTTGAGCACTGATAGCACCCCTGAGAATCCATCACTATTTTTCTGGCAAGAACAGATTTCCACCCCCAAGCTACAAATAAAATTTTAAAACGTTAACTTGGAAACAATGGTATCTATATCTGCCAAGCAAAGACTAAAATTTATTTACTGGAAGGAGCTAGAATTTAAAATATCAAATTGGCTTTTTCTAAATTTCTATTTCTTAAAAAAAATCAAGCACACAACTTGATTATTTTTAATCTCAGGCTCTCATGCAATCTAATTTACAATAAATAGAATCCAAACAAGAAACCTAGTTTTTTGGAAAAAACCCTACATATTCCCAGGGTTCTACACTGAGAATCAAGTGAAAACATGAGGAAGTTAGTCTTCAGTTTTAGGACTTCCTTTTCTTACTACAGTCTAGTAGTTATCTTGACCACCATCTCAGCAATTAAGTTTGCCCAAATACGAGTCAGGTAGTATTGCTATTGTTACTGACTAAATGCTTATGAATAACTTCTCCAAATTTCTGAAATTTATTAGCCAGTGAGAAATATGAACTTGAGAAAGCCAACAAATTTTTATCTTTATGGGTCTGGAAATGTGCTTCTGAAGGACACAGAGTTTTCCCAGAAGTTTGGCTTCAAGAAATCAAAAAGCTTTTGAAAATATTTACCTAAAACACAAAACTTTGCATGTGTTTTCCTTGTAAATAAAGGATAATGTAGTGCAGAAGAAGCTTATTTAAACTATGCATACAAATATGCATGAATGCCAATTGAATTCAATTTATCCTGACTTAATGTGAATTAACTTGATGGGTCTTTTGACACAAGCTGTACTGACTAATTGTTGCTTATTTGGGTGCACTATATGAGTGAGCGTGGCAATCAAAAGCTCAGCCAGATGTTCATATTTACTTTGATTGCCCACAGTCTTAGGTTTGAAGAAAAGTCAATCAGCAAAATTATTCTTCTTAGCATCTGTCAAGGTACTGATCACATTACAGTAACAGCAGCCAGAAAATAAGTATGGCTCTGATTCCCCTTTCCCTTACCTTGGTATCAGCCTTTAGTAGCTCTCTGCAGTTTTGGTTTGATACCATCACAAAACATGGAAGTGATGTGAAATTAGATCAAAAGTCTTTGTAAGTAGTTGATACCATCACAGTGAAGAATGAATGTATTTTTATCTTTGTATGAACTTATATTTATGTGAGTAACTTCTATAAAATATCTTTTGTACGTTTTATACTGGCATATGTTTATGATGAGTTACTGACTGAAGAGATACTTTTTCCAAACATCATCTAAAAACTTTTAAGAGGCTGAAAAATTAAATGTATTGCACTCACATGCAGGAAACCTAAGACTACCGAAACAGGTTCTCTGGATTTACTCTAAAACTTCTGGACATGTCAGATACATCAAGCTTTATATTTACTGCACAAGCAATGTTTTTCAATAGTGTTTTCATGAAAGCATGCACAGAAAATTAAGATGGGTGTTTGTTTTCAGGAGGGATACAGCTCAAAACTATCTTAACCTTTGCTTTTATCCCGAGGTGTTTAAAATGTGTCCTTGCATTTCCTGTGTAACTGGATCCTAGCTCATTAAGGGTAAGACTTTTTTTTTTTTTTTTTTGCAATCCAGATAGGAACAGTGGTAACAAGGGAGAATGCAACAGTTTGCAACTCTGTTATTTTAGGAATTACCGTAGTCTGGAGTTCTCCCCTGCTCAGGAATGTTTTAATTTGCAACCTCCACCTGCCTGTCGGGCAGCCATAACCTGAGCTAGAATTATCATTCCATTTGTTTCCCTAGGGTACTCTCAGCCCAAAATAATTCACAGCTAAGGAGAACAGAGTGGAAGAGAGCCCAGGATAAACTACAACTATTAATTTGCTGCTTGTCTGTGTGTAGGACTGGTCCAGATCTTTTGTTGTACATGTTACATAGAAGCATGCTAAAACTGTGAACGTAGAAGAATCCTTGCCACGGTCCTTAAAACAAATGGACTGGGGGCAAGAGGATCCCTTTTTTTCAACTATTTTAAAAGTTGTGGTGAAATGTCCTTAAAACTTCAGCAAGTGCAAAATTAGGTCTGTGGGCAGTAACAGCACTATGTGCTACTTCTCTAAGTAATGAAGCTTGTACTTCTTTTTTTATTGGGTGTCATGTCAAAAGATTAATTTAGCCTGACAGATGACGATAATAGGGGAAAGATTCTGGAAATATTATTATGGGTGATGAGCTCCAGCAGCAATTAATTCAGGAATGTGTTACTGAAGGAAGCTCCAAGGCTCAACCACAAACCCCTGATTATAGCTTAGTTTTCAATCAAAGCTTTCAGAGGAAGAGATTACATTAAAGAGGAGCTATCACATCCACCACAAAGCTGCTTAATATGACTCATGTCTTAATGGAAGAGTTTTTAGTGTAAAAATTTTTCGAAATGTGTTTCAAAACTAATGACACACATCCCTAGTTAGTTTATAGAGTTGTTTAAATAATCTTAGTGTTTGCATACCTGCTGTCAGAAGTCCCACAGCTTACTCAGGTTTTGCAGAACTGTGCAGCCCTTTTTAATGCAGAAACCTAGGTAAAGAAAATAAATAACCTTTTCTTCCCTCTACTCTTTAAAAAGGTTTCTCACCTTAGGTTGCATACATCCAGCTCTTCAGAGAATAATCCTCAGATTGGTGCTAACTCATGGGAAGTGTTTGTATGGCACAATGGCAGAAAACACAAGTGATCAGGAGGTGGCACTGACCTCTGTACACTATGTACAGGGAGTTCAGAAGACATGCAACAGGCTCATGTGTCTGAAGGAGGAGAAAGCATGGTTTGCATTTTCTGGTTTGGTTTTTTTTTTTTTTTACCTTCCCTCTGTGGAGGTAATAACTAAATTTGAATTCACCTATTTCACATACAGAGATATAAAAATCTGTGGCTCTACAACTGGTATGTTCTTAATGCGGTGTTTTTAGGAAAAATGAGAATTGAGGGGAAAAAAGAAAAAGACAAAAAGGGGCAGGATTTTTTTGCTAGAGATAAGTGGAGGTACATCTCTTTTACACACACACACACACACACAGACGGACAGACTCGGAAGTTACCTTACAACCTTTAAAGCAGTCGCCCCTGAGCCGAGCTCAGCCCCCTCCCCCGAAGCGGCGGGAAACGCACCGAGCCCACAGACGCCGTCGCTGGGCGGGCAGGTGCCGCGGGTAACGGTCCTAACGGCCGGCAACAGCTCCCCGCGCTGCAGCTGCGGGGCCGCGCTCCGCCCTCCTGCGCCTGCGCGGTGGCCCCGCCCGACCGTCGCTGAGGGCGTGGGCGTGAGAGGTGTAAACATTTCCTCTGCTCTGCTTGGCCATCCTTGTCTTTCTTTGGAATCCTCTTGTGTCAGGTATATTGTCTGTGCAGGCCCTAAGCTTTACCCTTTTCTGCTTTTTGCCTTGTTACAGCCCTGTCTTCTATGTGTGGGAGTTATCAAATTAAGCATAAGCTGCTATCTGGCTATTGCTACCTATGTCATGAAAATGTTCTAGTGTTGCAAGAGCGAGAGAGCCCTAAAGTACTTACATGTTTTTCCTCTGAGTTATGCGTCTCATTAGAGTTAAATCTGTCATTTCATACACAATCACAGCTGAGTTCCACTTGGGTAATGTGCATCCAGATTTGCTGTATATCTATAGGAAGCATTTATTGTTGTGCATATTAAGTGGGTATTAACTATGTGTGCTTGCATATGTTTCAGCCTTTAGTTGGCTTTCAAATTTGTGATTTCGCTTTCATCTTAGTTTTATAGTAGATAATTCTAACCTACTCATTAAATTTAATGAGTAATCACACTGGCTAGCTGCTGTTTCTACATGGTACACTTGTGCATACAGTCATCAGAAAAATTATGCAAAACATGAGAAATGAATGCACACATGCAAAACTGCATAATGTCTTGAAATAGTCAAGAATCATTTAATCAGGAAATTTTTCAGGTATCATCAGTTCATGCATACTGTAGTTTTTAAAATTTTTTTATTGCTTTCTCCAGGAAAATTTTTGTGAAAAGATATTACATTAGTTCAATGTGGTTCCTCAAGATATTATGGTTCTGTTTTGAAGTTAATGTGTTTAGAGAATGAAATAGACCAATTTTAATGCATAGAGGGAGGTTTCACACTGTCATCAATGTGAACTGATCTCCCTATTGTTTACATCCGACTTTTGTTGCAGAAACAGCCCTCAGGAGATCTATTGTGCTGCCTGACCCATATGCTTCTCTGTGGCAGGAAAAGGACACAGAACTTGAGGAGTCCTTGTCATTGCCTATTCCTGATCTGCGTGTCTGGATGGCCCATGCAGGCTTTATGTTTTGTGAGTCTAGCAGCCTGTTAATGTGGCTGTATATTGATTTCCCAGCCTGCTCACCCTCCCCCAGTGTCCTTTCTCCCTCCTTTAAGTACCTGTCATTAAAAGTTAAGCCTCTCATCCCCCCTTTCAGATGTCCTGTACTTTTCAGTGCCACAAAAAAATGTGGCTGAACCACAACAGTACAGCTGCTGAAGGGGAAGCAATATTAGAATGTCTGTTTAAGATTGAGGTGTGCTTGGGAAGGGAGGGGAAGGAGAGCAGCAATGGAGGGAGAGCAGAGAGGAACAGCGGTGTGGCTGCAGGCAGTATTAGTGGTACTGTGTTTTTCTCAGAGGCCTGCAGTCTTTGCTACTCTTTTTAGTTATGGTTTTCATAAACCGGTTTTGTTGTTGCCTCCTCACTAGGGGACTGGTGCAGCCCACCACTTTGCAATGACTGTGAGAAACAAACCTTGACCACTGCTGTATAACAGCAATCACATGGAATGCTCCCAGACTGGTCCATAAAGGTTTCTCACCCTCCTGCACTAAGTTGAGGAGGGAGAGGAGGGAGCCAAGTTCTGCTCCCATTGTCCTTTTCCCACATATTTCCCCACTGCTTCCTTATTTCCTTTTTTCCTCATTTCTGCTATACACTGAGAGCTATTTTTGCTTGGTTTTATTGTGCCTTTCTTTTATACGTATGCCTTTATTCAACTGTCAGTATTGTACTCAACTTCTGTCCCCCAGTACACAGGGAAACAATCTCAATGAGGATGCCTGTGGTCTTCCTCCTGCCAGTCAATATTTTCAGTCAGTTTGAAGAAATAATTTCAAATGGAAGTATCACAATTAAAAAAAGGGGAAAGATGAACAGGTGAAACATACTTTATTCTGCTCAGAAATGGGAGTGCTGTGGAAATTTTTTACAAATTAAAATTCCATTTTGGGCCCTTTCTGACAGTAAACAGCTTTGATCTTAATATCTGCATTGATCAAGTCTGCAGTCCTAGAGCAAAGTGGATTCTTCTAAAATCCTTCTGAGGAATAACAAAGGAATAAGTGATCCCTATATTTCCAAATCAGAAAGTTACTGAACTGTGAATGTTATGAAGATTATATATTTATGCATTCTCTAGAGCCTGAGCCTTCACATTGTGCTGTGTTATCTTGTGAGCTATTTTGGGCAACAGAACCACAAAGCAGAGCTACTTTCTCACCTGAGCTGCTATTGAGATGATATTCTAATAAAAAAAAAGCAGGCTCAAGAGACTGTATAAATAGAATATAAAACCTTACCTATTTTTTTTATGTTAATATTTGACAGAAATAAGCTTTTATGTCAATAAAAATAATTTCATTCTAAATCTCTCCACTTCTCATTCACTTAACGTACTTTATGTGCTGTGATGAACAGTGCCTGCTCTAGAAGTCATCCAGGTCGGTGGTAATACTCTAGCTGACTTCACTGGGCTTTCTGTGTAAGATTCCAAGTAAATTAACAAATTAGCATCTCCGTTTCACAAAAACTAATTGTATTGGAATGTTGTTACTGTTATTTGTTAGTGACATCCTGAGTTCAGTTCACAATTTCAACACTTAGTTACTATTTTTCATTTAAAAACTCATGTTTATGGCTCTGCTGTAGCTACGTTTACCTTTTACTTGTGCCAGGGAACTACAGAGCTTGCAGGCTGGGCGTCTGCAGGCCACACAGCACTACGGCCTTGTGTTGCTGCAGCACGTGGTGTGCTGTGGCCATTTTCAAGGTCTCTGGTTATGAGATATTTCAGGGTGAGATGGGGACTGAGCGAGATGCTTCTGTTTTCATTCCTGGCCATTAGAATGACTTTGGCACTCTGGGCAGCCTTTTTGTCCCAGCACTGTGGACTCGGAGAGTTCTTTTAATTACCAGTTACATCCTTACTATAGTGGAAACGCAGCAGAAAATCTAGTTTAGAGAACTTCTGGGGCTAGAGAAGAATTAATGTGGTTTTCTTCTTGCAGATAATTTGACTGACCACCATTTAAGGTGTAAAGCGAAGGCCAGAGTGCAAAAGTAGAAGATGGCTTTTCAAGCTGTTAAAGAACTCTGACAGGTACTTATATCCAATCTTCTTTAATGTACATAGAAGAAGAAATGATAAATGTTCCATTAGCTATTCGGCTTACTATGTCATTTGGAAAGTGATTAATTTCCCATTTTCTTGTTATCTGTTGAGGGCTTATTGACAGTGTGGCAGATGGTTTTTGTTTTAAAATCACGAAAGAGGTTGAGTGATTATCCTTGTTGAGCCTTATGTTGCTTTGAAAATACCAGCTGAGTATGAGAGGAAGCGGTAATGTTAGTCACTTGGGTGTTGAATGGCTGACAATCAGGAAATTGAAAACTACTGCTACTGTTAGATTGTAGTAGTTTATGAAATGTATCATAGACATTGAAAGGCAATCAAGTAGTCAGCATCACCCACCAAAATGCAAATTACCAAATGATGATATAAGGAAATCAGATAACAGGCTCAAGGTTTTTCCTGGAGAGTAAGCTCTGGAGTTGACTAGAACAACTGGCACCATCAAGAAAGAGGAAACAAATGCATTGACTTATTTGTGGATTTTATCATATCACCCACTGACTGGGCCCTTGGTCATCTCTTATTTCTATAAATTATGCTTCAGTAGTGTGTAATGTAATGGCAGCATATTGGATGGACTGAATTTTGATTTTCATCAGCATTTTAATCACTCTGTAAGCTGGAGTTCTTTTATGCTTCAGCAAGATTTAGCTACAATGTCTTTTTGATGTTAAAAAAGTAATTTCTTAGATCATACCAGGGAGCAGAGACGACACTTAGATCCCAGTCCCACTGCTGAATTCTTAACAACTCCTATCTGTTTTACTGAAGTTAGATGTGTTTTGATGGAGATTACTTCTCCACCCTTGAGAAACTGGAAGCAAAATCAAGGTCTGGCAAAGCTCCTGAGGGAACCTATACAAAACGTACATGGTAGTGTTGCAGGCTTTGACTCCATCCTCTCTCATTAGAACATAACTTTTGTTCACATAGCTGAGATAAAAACAAGCCCAATTTTGGCTAGAGCAGCATGTCTGAATATCTGTATGCTTGCTGCCTTCCTCACTGTAATAATCTTCAATGTCCTTACTGATAACAAAATGAATAAATAGCTTTAGAGCACTTTCCTCTTTTGCAATAATCTTGGCATTGCTTTTTACTGAATTAACAATGAGCCTCTGATAATATATGTACCTAGAAAAGGAACACAAATAAGATGCCTTTCCGGGTAAATATAACAGACATGACATTTAATATCCTGTCTTTGTCATTTCGAAGTTATTTTTGGTGCGTGTACAATAGAAGTTCATTCACAGAAAAGTGAGTGTACTTGTATTAGAAAATCAATTGCTATTAAGGCATCACCTACCAGTCATGAGCTTGTGAAGCTTCATTTTAAAATTAACAAAACTGTTCCCAAGGGGAAGAATCTTAAGCAAATAACTGTGCTTATTTTTTGAAAGAGATGGTAGCTTTTTCTGTCACAAGGTGACTGCTGACGTTAGCCATAATGACTGCTGTCTTAGACTGCAAAAAATATCTTCATTAAATTTTATAGAATTTTCCAAGAGATGTGTCAGTCCTGATGAGTTGATACTGTCCTGTCTTGGATTAGAAAGAGGAAAGGGGAGAGAGAGAGAGAGAGAGAGAGAGAGGAGAAGAAACTCTACACCTACACCCGTGACAGTTTATACCTCTATAGTCGTAGATTGTCATTTAAATCTCTAGCATATGTCCTTGTTATTCTGGACAAAACATTGCTTCAATCTGTAATATTTGTTGGCTTGCATTTTCTGTGTGCCTACTTACTCCATTTCTATGCAACATGACAGCAACATCTGTATTTGCAGTGAAGAAACTGTATGCCATCTCCAGTACAGCTTCTCTCTAAACAGAGAGCAAACTTCCAAGAAAAGCTGCCCAGTCTGCTCTGAGGTAGGGTGAAACCTCAAGATCACGGAACATTCAAGTTCTGTTCTTTTGTCCATTTCTAGAGGTAAAATACAGATGTCATATAGCAATTTCAATATTTTTGTGATTACACAGAGTTTTAATTTGTGGTGTGAAGCATATTGATCCTTGTTTTCTCATGGGTTTGGTTAAAGAATTTAGCTTGCATAGTTTAGGAGTGTTTTGTTGTTTTTTTTTTGTTTGTTTGTTTGTTTTTGTTTGATTTTGGTTTTTTGTTTTTTTGGTTTTTTTTTTTATAACAGCATATGGTGAAGCTGAGATTTTACATTTTATGGCTAGTAGGATTTAACTACAGACTCTGAAATTTATTTCATAGAAAGACTAAAGTGTGAGTTTTGATGTGAAATTTATTTCTGTTCTGTAGAGTGCTCTTCTTTTAGGGAAAAATAAATAGCGTAATTTTTCTTGAAGGCAAGATGATATAATGGCAATTTTTCCCCTTTAATCAGAAACTTGGAGAGAACAAGAACCGCATACTGAAACAGAGAATGGACAAAGAGAAGTTAGAATAACTAGCAGTGGTGAGATGTTTTCATGACAAGGATAAATTGTAGGGTACCTGGGTAAGGCCTTAAGAAGGGCTAAAGAATAAGGACTGATAACTCCTTGCCTTAGAGATGTAGTAGACTCAAGTTCGTTTCCTCCTTTGGGATGTTTGTCAACATGAACCTTGACAAGGTACTTTGACTAATTCTGGAAAAGATCTGGGTTTGTTTGGCTTCTTGCATGTATCACTGCACTCTTAGAAACACCATTCTGCTGCAGCCTAATCCTGACTTTGCCAAATCACAACCATCTTTATTTTTTTACTCAATCACCCTAAAGCATCTGACCCAGAAGTGTTTTTTTTAGATAGGGTTGAACAACTCAGCACCCAACTTAACCTAGCTCACTTGAGCAGCAAAACGTAACTGCTCCTCTGCCAAACTTACTGGAGCTGCTTTCATAGCTATCATGGACATAACCAGACTTCATAAAGGACAGTTAGCAGCTTAAAAAAATATTTTGAGGAGGCCCCAAATGACATATGTCAAGTCTCTACCTTGGACCCATCACCAGTTTTGGTTCCACCATCTAGAACAAGGTACTGGAAATTTTGTGTTCCAGTACTTTGTGTTTCTAAGTCTTGGTCTCTTCCATTTCCCATCAATAAATAGGGTCATTTGCCTACCTTATGGGATCCTACAAGCATGAGCATGAGGCTGTAAAGTGCTCAGACATTGTAGGTTGAAGGAAATTGGCTGGGTAAAGAATATTGGGTTCCTGTCTTGTGTTTGGTAGTATCATGTGGACTGCTGCAACTACAAATCCTTACAAACAACATGTGACACTATCAGCCTTGCTGCATACTGCCAATGGCCAGATCAGCATCTTTTCTATTAGCACTTCTCTTCCCAGTGCTGTTGCCCAGTGCTTGCCAGGACCTGTAACAAGATGACTTTCTTTTGAGTCTGAATGTTCTGGAAGCAGAGTGGTTGCAGTAATGACAGTGAGCGAGTTTTGGATATCAAAAAAAGGGAATGACTAATCCAGGTAGACAAGACTTGATTTTATTAATAAAATTTGTATTTTCCTCTTTGAGGTGACAGTTACAAACTTTGGTTCAAAAATAAAAGAAAATATGAACAGCGAGAAGTTGAGTTTTGAAATCTCACTTTTACATGTATAAACGTGCATAAGAAAATACCAGTTGGAAATGAGCCAGCAGAAACTATTACTATTTAATTTAACAATTTATAAGAAATAGAAACAAACATTTCTTTTCAAGTCTTACATATATTATGAAAAATAATTACAAAAGGATTTTTGTTGTAAAGCTAAAATGTAATTTCTACTTCCAACTACCTGAATAAAATGTTCAGAGGGAAGGCCAAACCAACACTTTTTTTCTGTGAGATTTGAATAGCAAATTGTAACAGTTTGGGTCAAAGACAGCTCTGTAGGAAGCAGTCCCCTCGTATGTTGCTTAGCAACTATGTAGAATCACATGACCTAGACATATTGCATCCCTGGCCTTCAGGTGAAATAACAGGAAAAAATAATTCATATTAATGGGATGGGCAAATATTGTATAGGACCATTCTGTGGAACTTCTAGTATCCAGTTCAGGAAGCAAACATCCATCATTGCTTACATAAAAATCTAAGTAAACACTGCAAAAATCCATAAATAACTGTTTAGAATCCAGTTTTAATATTTATGCAGACCAAATAAGCACAATGGAAACAAATTCAGATGAGCTTAAAATAAAAAAGGAAAGCTATATGACTAATTTATTTCACACAGATTTTTAACAGATCTCTTACACAAGTTTTTTTTTTTTTTTTCTTACAAATTTTCCCCACCCAAAAATAGAAAGTTGTTTATTTTAGGTATATACAGGTATCTTATGAAATTATGGAATTAGAAAAGAAAATAAAAAGTCTGAGGTATAGCACCATGGAACACAGCACCTTTGAAGTTGCTTTCATTATTGAAATTCATCATCACAGAGTGATATCAGCAGAAAAGAGTTGTCTGAGTGTGCTGCTCAAGATCTTCCAGTTTTGCCACCTTAAGTTTTGTTGGCGACTTCAAATAACAAAGCTCTTCAACAACAATATATACAAAGGGATTTTATTATTAATCGGAAATGGAATTGGCTTCACTGGCAATTACAGCTTTATTTTTTCAGAATACATACACAGTATTGACAATGTAGTTTTGTAATTATAAAATAAGGGCCAGATGCAATTCAGAGACACATGCAAGTTTTGGAAATGGACAGAGAAATAACAGTATAGTACTGTACACAGAATAATTACAGTTTATTAAACACTTTCTTAACACCTCTTTGTTGTAATGGAAGGAGCACCATATTGTTAATTTTTTTACAGCACCAAAGGAATCCAAAGGGGGGGTGTTCCTAAAGTGAGCGCTATGTTGTCTGTCTGTGCCACAGCATCTTTGCAAAATAAGTTTAAGTCATGTGATTCTGGCCCTACAAGGGCAACAATTACTTTCTAGATATGACATACATACACAGCAAGACATATTTTCTATGCCATCCTTATTCAAAACTTGCATGTGGCATGAAGTGGGTTGGTAGCACCAAAGTGCAACGTTTTTGTTGATCTGATTTTGTCATAAGCTTAACCAAGGAAGCAGACGGGACCGACCTCAAATCCAAACTTCTGGTTCTGATCACCAAAGTCATTGATCATCACATCAACTATAGGCACTTGGTCTATTTTGGGTGTGTTGATTTCAATCACCGTCTTTGCATAGCCCTTTCTTGACTGTTAAAAAAGAAGCAAAAAAAGTAAAAAAAGAAGAAGCAAACATGGTTATATATCAGAGCAGTAAGCATGTGCTGTAGATCTTCATAGGGTATCTGAAATGTAGAATTTATAAATTACTGCCCCCCTCATGCACCAGATATTACAAACTCTAAAGTTTATGTTTTCTTAGGACTTTATTTTAAAACCATGATATGGAATGTTTTTGATATTAGAAAGAGACCAGCCCATAGCTTTTTGACTTTCTAAAGTAGGCCTTCAAATGAAAAATTATCTAAGACATTTAATGTTTCTCAGAGAATTCTGAGTTCACATCTATAATATTTAATAAATAATAACAGTAATCTCATAGCAGTGCACATGTCTTCCCTGTGAAAAAATCACTAGTTCTGAAAGACAAAAAAAAGATCCACTTCTAAGAAGAAAGACTGTAACCATCTCACAAAATATTAGAGCAGCTTTTTGGACAGGAAAAGAAGTAGTGGTCTGACAGGCCTGCCAAGTGATGCACTTAGAAACCAGGTTTGAAGGCACACCCTTACTTCCTAACAAAGGCTCTCTACCCCCTCTAAATATCATCCAGCCAAGTCATCACGTTAGTTATCAGGACTGCACTTTGTTCAGATGGTCTCCTATATCTTGCTGAGACCCCTTTCAGCTATGCCAGTCTTGGAGTTTAGATGAGCATCCAAGTTGGTAGATCTGAGTGTTGTTAGTTTAGCGACAGAGTTACACCCTAAATCATTTCCAGCTTTCTCTGGAGCTCTACACTCACCTGCTGTGCATAACAAAAGCAAAATGAATATACAGGCCATACAGAAAGGCTGACACGAAGCAGTTATGTATTAGAATCTCATTACTGAGGGGAAGAGACTCTGCATCTACTTGAGCTGCATCTCTGTCTCAGAGCCAGGTATATACCCTGGCATTTTCAGATCTCCGATTGTCTATCATTGATTTCTGAAGAACTGCCTTCAAAATGCTCCCATACCAAAACCCAAAATAATTAATGAGGCTTCAGCTGTCACTTGCTCCTTTGATGTTTTTGTTTCAAAGTGTTCAGTACAAACCATTCTGTTTCTGAAAAGAGGTAACGGTTGCTATGCCTACAAAGCCCCTGCTGGAGGGGTGGCCAGAGAGCTGATGCATGTTTGGACAGCTCCAGGGATTTTATCCAAGCTAAGAGAGGATTCGGAAAGGTACAATCCACAAGTTTCACCTGGCTTTGACTACCAAAAAAATGAGAAAAGGAAACAAAGTCACATATCAAACTGTACAATTAATTCACTATGTTTGGGTACATACATATGGCTTAGTTCATACATGTTTCACTGTATTCACTAAATGTCTGCATGTGCCTTGATTTTTGAGTATAAATATATTCTCCTGATAGGCTGCTTCCCCTGATTATGCTTTTTTGCTTCTGTTCTTTTCTTATACTGGGATCATACTAGCAGATAGACTAGTTTCAGCACATTGGTGCTGACAGCCTACATTCGTTCCAGGTTTGTTTCATTTCTGTTGCTTGGCTTAGGCGTACATACATGAAAATTAAATAAGGGACTAGTGTACTGTAGTTAAAAATCTACTAAAAGGCAGCCTATTAAAAATAAAGTGTTTAGAAAGCTTTTCTTGGAAGAAAGCTGTGAAAAAAATGAGTCTGTTTGATTTCTTATTTAATTGACAGGTTGGTTTTGTCAAGACTCTGCTGAACCTCTACTTACTGCACAGCCATCGTGAAGAGCTTTGATGTAAGGATTGTTGTCATAGGACATTTCTTCATCATTCGATCCTAAGAACCTTAGTGCTTTGTCATAGCTGTCAGATGATGCATCGTGCCAAGCTACAGACTGATGACAGTTGTAAGTGAAATTCTGTCTGGCAGAGGCACTCAGTAGTTTAAGGAATGTCATTTGGACCATATTAATGGAATTGCCTTCAACATCCAAATAGGAAAGCTGGAAAATATAAGAAGTTACATGAATATTTATCCATTTCCTTTGTTAAAATGCAAAAAAAAATTATTGTTGACAAAAGAAACATAACTGTCCTTAATTAAAAAAATCAACCAACATATTTTATGGAGTTTTAAAGTTCAATAAAGCTATGATTCAGTAAATAGATTTTCATGTTGTAGCAGTATATTTAGAATGAAGAACTACATATTTTAGCTTCATTCTAATGTGAGAGACAAAGAATTATTCCTACCATAAACAGCAGAATCTCCTTGGAAATCTGTTTTTAGTTAATGATAAAGCTATGTCAGCCTGCAGTCTCATCTTTGCATATTCTATATTTCCAGTTACCTAGAATGGGGCAGGGGATCTGTGCTCTAGCTGCTTTACTAAGGTTCAGTGGTGATGTGTGGTCTGCCAGAAGTCAGGTCCTCACCATCAGCTATGCGCGTGACCACTGGGGTCATTGTGGGACAACACAGAGGAGGCTTCTGCTGTTCAGTGGCAAGAGGTCATATAGCTGCTCTAATATTTAGAGCAAAAAGGCTGGGGCTGAAATGTCTTTTCATGATCTAAATATTTATAAAAGTCCTTGGTGTCTGTTGATCACTCATAACATGTACTAGATTTGTGAATAACTGTGACGTTGCAGTGACAACTTACAAGTTTGCCTCGCTTAAATTCACTAAACCAAGATCCTGGATTCTCCTTTGGCCATGATGAAATTCTAACCTGTGTGGTAAAACAATAGAGAAGTATTTAAAACATATGTTAACAGATAGGAAGGTTTTACATTACCTGGGACAAATTTCACATCAGATAATAAAGATTGGTTCTTTCTGAGATCTCAGCCTCTTTGAAGCTCTAAACTAGGATGTTTTTCTTGTATAGAATGCCTTCAAATTAGTGACTTTAAATGGAATCCAAGGTGATAGCTTATAAAGAGAGTTAGTTCTATTTAAGGGAGACTCTTGTCATCTGTTAAGGTTCAGGTAAACTGCTGGTATAAATTGTTCCTGTGAAGAGTGTCTAAATCAGAGTTTTCACTGGTGTTGATGCTGGTAGATCCCTCTCATCTAGACAAGCTTTCAGAAAGCCTTCCTCTACACCATATGCCTCATCAGAGGTAATTTACAACAATGAGTGAGGACACTGTTAATACATATTGTTTTACATCTGCTTTGCATAGATGTAGATGAATGGATACAAATGAACCCACAAGAGAAGCACAGTAAGAGTTTAGCTTTTAGGTGTCAAACACTAGATGATGCACTTTAACTGGTTGCACAGCTATGGGGCATTCTGAAATGCAGTGAAAGCTTCGCAAGCAGGTGCACAGATTCCCTATCCAAGCAAAGGGGGGGAAATTGCTGTTTGTTAACTCTGTGTACCATTTTACCACTTCATTCAGATTTATGCAAATTTCAGTGTAATCAGAAAGACAGATATATGAAAATGTGACAATGTAATTATCCTGTTTAGTTCAACATTGCAACAGCATAATAGGATCTGTCAACAGCCAAAAGAAAACACAGATTGGTACTTACTCCTTCAGATTTCTTATCTGGGTAGATGCAAGTTTCCCCACCTGCTGTGAAATTGCAGTATACTTTGAAGGAGTCTCCAGAACAGCCCTGGTTAGGATCAATCCAATATTCCCCTAAAACAAATGAGAAAATATTTGCCTTTATAGTAGAAATGGTATTTGCAAGATCCAGGTTTTACTGCTACCTAATGGCCCTCCAAAGTTTATAGCAAAGTTACTTTGTCTGAACAATGAGAAAACAACACTTTATTTTCTGCCTTGTGATCTATTGCTGCTGTTGTTGTTTATGAAGGATAACACCAGGATCAAAATCTATTTATATGTCCTGATTTTGCCTGGGATAGAGTTAATTCTTCTTCTTAGTAGCTAGAACAGTGCTGTGTTTTGGATTCAGTATGAGAAGAGAATACTGATAATATACTGATGTTTTCAGTTGTTGCTAATAAATCAAAGACTTTCCAAATTCCCATGGTCCTGCCAGCATGCAGGTGTAAGAGAAGCTGGGAGGGGAGCAGAGTCAGAGCACAGGACCCAAGCTGGGCAATGAAATATTCCTTATCGTGTAACATCACACTCAGAGGAGGGTTGGCTGGGAAGAGGGGGGGTTCTCTCTCACTTCAGGCACTGCATTTCAGGATCTTGGTTTCTCTGGGATCGCTAGCCAGGAATGGGCTGGGTATCTGTTGGCAGGTGGTAAGCAATCACATTGTGTGTTACCCACTTGTACTTTCTATTATTGTTATTATCATTTTATTTTATTTCAATTATTAAACTGTTTTTATCTCAACCTATGTTTCACTTTATCCCTCCAATTCTCTCCCCCATCCCCCAGACGGGGGAGGGTGAGTGAGCGGCTGCGTTGTGTTTGGCTGCCAGCTGGGTTTAAATCATGACATTTTATCTGCATCCTTTTGTTTTTGTCTAATTTTACTTCAAACCCTAACTATTGCAGGATACTGATGAGGTTTTGGAGGAACTGCAGAGACCTTAGTCTAGAGGAGGAGGGATATTATGTCTGAGACATACATTGCAGGTCTCAATTTGGCCATTTCAGTATTTCAGCTAAAAGGATAATTTGTACCTGTGGTGACAGCACTCTCAAAACCAGAGCAGAGACAGCCTTATACAAAAATAAGCTATGGCTTAGCTCAGAGAGCAAACTCTGGAGTTATTTGCATACCTATCTACATAAACAGGTGGCTGCACAGGGCCTGGTGATGTTGTAGCTGGCACAAGTACCTAAAGCTTCCATTAAGAGAGATGCACCTCAAGCAAAGATTTTTTTTTTTTTTTTTCCTACTGGGTTATAAAGCTGCAACACTAGTGAAACTTCAGGCTGCTGTAAGTTGATAAAAACACCTTAACTAATGATTGGTTAGGTGACATGGTGGGAAAGGCAGTTAAAACTTGCATGAGGCTTCCCATACTTTCAGCAGTCCTACTAGACTGGCATGATTGAGAATTCAGGCCCGACAATGCTAGGGTGAATGGAGGCTGGGTATGAGAGAGAGCCACAATCAATCCAAGGTTCATTAAAAATTAGCGCTTTTTAAAATCTACCATTCTAATTGTAATGATGATTTCTGTGATGTAGGTCCTTATCTCCAGCCAGTTTCACAGCAGGACAGCAAAAGATTTTCTGACACTGCTGTTCTATTCCAGTTTCAAGCAAATAAAGGAGGTTTCAAAGAGGAATGACAAATTCATTCACCAGTTCTGTTTCCTGAATACAGGACACAGACAAAGCATTTATGGTATTTTAATGTTCTGTTGATTCAGGCTGTATTTATTGAAAACAGTCTTTCCAACCTGTAAGTATTGTCCCTGGAGAATTTGGTATTTTAATGAATCCATTTACTTTAACCAAAATAAGATTACTTTTATATGAAGAAAACTCCAAATAATAAGCAAATAATGGTAAATGAAGAAGTTGAATGTGTTCTATAAAAAACATTCATTATAATGGAGGGTACTGAATTGTAAAATATGTACTTTTCATATAGCACATACACTGCTTAACTACTCCTCAAGGCAACCATCTGTTTTTATCTATCTAGAGTGAAAGCAATAAAATATTATTAAACTGTCAAAATCTATTTTTCCTCCAATTTAAAAACTGAAAAATATTGCTTTTAACTGGGAAAAATATCCATTGCAATCCAAAAAAAAAAAAGAAAGGATGAAAACTCTGTGAAGGTTGGCTTTCATTTAAACATTTCAAGAGGGTTAGTTAGAAAAACTCAGTAAAAAAGAAGAAAACAACAAAGAATAATTAAATCAAGATAGTTCTTCAGAACACAGTGTCTTGTTTATACTATTCTGCATTTTATTAAGCTAGTACTTAGAAGCATTAAACAGTATCAGAGAAACTTGCATGTCTGTTTGCTGAATGATATAGAATAAAGAGTGGTCATGCAGTAGAACAAATTATTGCTTCTAAGGGTAAAAGAATAGTAATTTTTTTGAGAGTCATAATCAATAAAATACCTCATATAATACCAATGCTATTTTATATCATTATGCTAAGCTAAAGTATACAGCTACTAAAATAATTCTTGTTTCTTTTAAAAGAAGCTATTAGCTATCCCAGCATGTTGACATTTGTGATTTTACTTTTCATTGATCTAAAATTCTGAAAATTCAAGACCCACCTCTTTCAGAACAATACCTGTTTTTTATTTAGCACTTTTTAAAGTTTTAAATCTAAAACCAGATCAGGTTACGTATTTAAAGAATTTTGGCTTTTACCAAGAGAACATCTTTTACATTTTATAAACTTTTATATCTACAAAAATTAATTTAATGAGACTGTATTTATTGAGCAACTGTATTAACCATGTACCAATAATTAATCATTCTACCAAAGTATTTTAGCAGATCATAACTTTGGCCTTGTTTGCCTTTGTCGTGCAATATTAACATACCATCTGGGAAGTCTGGGTGGCAGAGCTGCAAGTCTTTGCAAGTTCGGGCTGGGTTATTCTGAGTGCCCATTGGATACTTCATATGCTCAATGTCTTGCTTCAGTGAATTCAGTGAACCAAAAATCTCTTCCATGCCATCAGAATAATCCAGAATATTGTCACCAGCATCAGATAACATGTAATCAGGAGATCTTCTTGTCTTTTTGGGTGACTGCATTGGCAGCGGCTGGATTACCTCACCCGGAGGACCCTGAGTGGAAATCAACATATCTGGTTATCTTTACTGTTTGTTTTTCAGCTGCATAAATATGCAGAGGAAGACCACAGAATGTGGCTTGGAGA